TCCATCCATCTATCCACCCATCTACCCATCCACACATCCACCCATCCACACATCCATCCATCCATCCACCCATCCATCTATCCATCCATCCATCCATCCATCCATCCATCCATCCATCCATCCATGCATGCATCCATCCATCTATCCATCCATCCATCCACCCATCCATAATATCCATTATTCCTCTCTCCCTTCTGGAGCCCCCAAACATCCCAGCTTTGACGATATCAGTGATCAAGCAGAATTTGCCCCTGCAAGGTTAGGCCATCAACTGGCGATTCCTCTCAGCTATTCTGGGCAGAGCAGTCAGCACTCCTTCCAATTTGTCTGTTTGTTTTTTGAGAGACAATCTCATGTACCCCAGGTGGACTTGGCACTTGCTATGTAGTCAAAGCTATCCTTGAACTCCTGATGCTCTTGCACCTGCATCCCAGGTGCTGAGGTTACAGGCCTGAGCCACCACACTCAGCTTTTACTTCAGACACTCTCGTTGCCAGTCTTTCCCCCTCAGGTCCCTCTTGCCTAGAGTGCCTTTTCTTTTTCTACTTCACTTTCACTTGTTGGAATCCTGGCTCTCCTCCGGGCTGCAAGTCCGAGAATATGCTCTGACCCTCAGCTTCTTCAAGTTGCTTCTGACTGAAATTTCTCTGGGTCTCAGTGCTTCATGGGGTAAGTGGTGATAACAGCAAGAAAGCATTGTGGGAAGACTGGGGGAAGCTTGCAGAATCACAGAAACGTGGTGACTGACATACAGTGTGTGCAAGGTGAAACAGAAATGCAGACTATATGTTTACAACCCCTCCCCAAATCAACGAATGTCTAAGTGCCTACTGTGTGTCTGGTGGTAGGTAAACAGTGCACCTTCTACTATAGAAAAGGTTTGTTTCTTTTTGCAAACAAGACAATCCCCCTCCTTACTACCTCATGTATGGAACAGCCCTGAGTTCTATCATAGCTGCAGCCAAGAGCCAGGTTCAACTTCAGGAAGGTCAACCTAGAACCCTTAGAACCACAAACCCCAGCAAATCAGCGAAGAGCAGGATGGCAGAGGATGCTGCCCCCTGGTGTCAGTGAGCTCTTGCTCGCTCACACGCTGCCTTACCATTCCCATGCAGGGTGCGGAGCAGCTGAAAGATCAGAATCTTCCCACAAGGCAAAGGATTGAGTGCACATTCAAATTTGCTTCCTTTGGGAGCCATGCCCCAAATGCCTAATTTTCCCATAGTACCACCATTAATCCCAATTCTTAGCTGCCTTTCGGGGCTTCCTTCAATTGCCCCAGGCCTCAAGCCAGTCATTTCCCTAGTGGACCCTGGGGCTAAGGGTGGACTCTGATGGGGCTCTGAGCCAGGCTGTGCATGGCCAGATACCTGTCACTTCAGCCTACTGTTGCCGTGGCTCACTCCAGTAGGGCCAGGTCTATGTCCCCAGAGCAGGGATCAGGACTAGAGGCTCATCCCTGCCTTGTTATGGAGCCCAGTCCCAACTCAGGCCAACCTGGGCTACATCTATTCTCATAACATAACAGTCCTTCACAACACTCCTGGCATCCAGTCTTTTCCTCTTGACTCAGCCTGGCCATGGTGTCTAAACAGAGGGCTCTTCTATGTCCCCTGATAAAATCCTCTTCTTCAAGACCCCTCCAACAACCCAGATTCTCAAGGCAGAAGACCCTGAAGGACTCAATCCCATCATGGTTCTCTCTGCCTGCCTTTCACAGTTCTGACTTCCTTTATTTGGCATTTGGACTACCTCTCTTTGACAAATGCCCCGTGTCCTGCAGAAGCCCACATAGATGTCACTGGTGGGTCAGGTCTGAGGTTAAGCAGGTTGGGCCTTGTATAAGAGTATAGGGCTACATCAGCCTAAAGGAAGGGGTGCCCTTCTAGATATGTGTCCATCAGGAGTGGCACCTCTTTTCCAGTCTGCACATAGGTATCATAGAGGTGGGCAGGAGTCCCAATCCACTCATCCTCTGAGTACTTGGGTATATGGAGGGCACATTTCTTACCAGACTGAGCACCTGTCTTATGCTGGACCTATATCATTGTCTCTTTGTTTACAACTCAACATTCAGGTTAGGTCTGGAATGGTCAAGTACTGTGCAACCCAGAGTACACGGCTGCCCCTCTTCCAGGTTGCTCTTTCCCCCAACTTTCCCTGAGAGCCCTTGAGGTCAACTTTTGCCAGATCAAGCCTTGTTTCCTTTGGGATCCAATAAGTAGCAAAAAGCACATAAAGAGTGACATTGACTCAGGAGTAGCCTCCTGTTTGACTGAGTGGCAGGAACCTGGTAGCTACACTGGGATCCTGAATTACAAAGCAGAATTCATCCTCAGGGGTGTGTGTGTATGTGTTAACATGCATTTCTCAGACCCTTCCATCTCCAGAGAAAGCCTGAGATCTAGTTCCAAGGAGGACAGACACATGATCTATAAAGCCCCTACAACGTATCTGGGGCATAGCATCCAAGAAAAACTGTACGTCAGACTCAGCCTTCTAGCAAACAGAGCAGCTTGGCATGCATGGAAGCAGCTGCCACCTATCACAGGAAAAGCTCAACTTGACTCTCCAAGGCCCTTATAGAGCCCCTCATTGAGGACAGAAGGCCAGCCTGTTTCAGTGACAGTTGTATGCCAGCTGTAGACAAGAAACCCTCATGGTTAGGGGTGTCTTTCATGGACTAGTAATGACCCCTATCACAAGTGTGGCCTTGTAGCCTCCGACACCTTCCGAAACCACAGAAGACCAAAGCTTCAGAACCAAAGACCAAAACTCCGAATACATGCTGGGTGGGGTTCTTCCTGGAATGGGACAAAGAGGACCAAATACTGGGGTGGTGGTGCTCATAGGCTGTTCATCATGGAGGCAATAAATAGTGTCTGCTCCACCACCACCACCACCATACCGCTACCACCACACCGCCACCACCACCCCACCACCACCACCACCAGTTATTTTGATTATACATGACCCCAGCTCTAGCCTGTCCTTGCCTGTTGGACACACAGCAAGACCAGCGTGGCCCTGAGCAGCCTGTCACTAGGCACTAGCAGACAGAAGGAGCTTAGGGAGCTGAGGGGATTAGAGAGGCCTTACTCTCCCCAGCTCAGGGAAAATGTCCCTGTGGCCTAACTCAGGACAATTGTGGGGGTGGGGGAATAATTACCTGGTCCATCATTCCCCCAGGTTCAGGTCTGATATAATCAAGCACTTGGCATGGGTTGATCAGCTAAAACTTCAGCTCAAACTCCAGTCTTTCCAGATATTATCCATATGGCATTGGGTAAGTCAGTCTTTGAATCTCAACAATAAAAGAAGTACCACCAACCTACTAGGTTTTGCTATGAGTGTTAAAAAACAAAACACATGCCTCACGAAGCGATCAACCTCAGCCCTTTCTTTCTTTAGCTCAGAAACAACTTTGCCACCACTCTGGTGGAACTGTCTGAATACCAAATAAGAAATACTATCATGCATAGAGCATTTGCCCTGGGCTAGGCAGGTGTAACCAAGTTAAAGACCAAGCATTTTCACATAAATTATCAGGCTTATTCTGCACAGGGTTGGGACAGAGACCCTTTAGAGGTGTTAGCTGGAGACTTGGAGAGGGGAGAGGCCAGGACACGGAAGTAGTATTGAAGGGGTGGGCCTGTGGAGAGAGTCCAGGTGTGGGTGTAGGGATTTGGGGAGAGTGCTAAGTAGGGGTCCATCAGGGGTCCTAGAGCCTCCTCAGAGGGTGCAGGGATGAAAGCTGAATCCTGTAAGGAATAGGGGAAGCCAGGACACAGTCCTGGGCAGAGCTTAGGGGCAAGTAACCAGCCAATCTTGTCCTCTGGCTAAAGGGCAGCAGGGACAGCGCTGAGAAGGCTCCGGCTAGATTCAGGAAGCCCAGGTCAGCTCTGGGCTTCACCCACCGCAGGATCTGGGGGCAACAACAGAGATCAATGGGTTTTGGTCTCTGGAGATGGACACGGACATGGAGTCTGCCCTTCCCTTGGCTTGGGGCCTAATCTGATCACCGGTCCTCACCACAAGGGGAGAGGGGCTTGAGGACTGAGGGAGGTTGTGGGGGGGGGGGGGTCTCAGTGAGCAAGGCCCTTCCTCTGAGCTGACACAGCTGCTTCCCCAACGCAGCCTGGGCCCACCACCAGAATTGGGGGGCGGCTCGGGGACCTTGAAGGGACCGCTCAGCAGCCGCAGCGGAGGGCTCCGCAAGGTGGGGATGTCACACCCGCATCCTGGGCCAAGATACTACAGCTTCCCCGGAGATGGAGGTCGGGATCGGACCCGGACTTACCGGCAAACAGCCATAGGGAGCCCCCCGACACCAGGAAGAAGGTCAGCATGTCGGCGAGTGGGCCTAGTCCGCCCCAGCACTGCTTCCCGGGCCCACAGCCCCGCAGCCCCAGAGCCGCCGCTGCCGCCGCAGCCGCCGCCGCCGGGTATTTTTAGCCCCCGCCTCCCCGCGCCGCTGCGGAGACCCGGCGGGAGGGGGAGGGCGCGGCGCGCGCTCCTCACGGAACCCGACTCCCAGCCCCGCAGCGCGGCCGGGACTCCTGGGCGAAGAGACAGCTGCGTCCGAACCGCCGAGCCCGACTGGGGGAGGGGCCGGGCCGCCCGCCCCGCAACGTTCCGGGCGAAACGGGCTGGGGGTTGGGGGGACTCACGGGCGCACTGCCGCTGCCACTCACCCCTCCACCCACGAACGACCCTTACCTCCGCACGATCCGCCGCCAGGGCTTTATGACTAGGCAGGCTCAAGTGGCAGCGGGGTCCCTTACTTGTGTCCCAGGAAGTGCACATGCTGATGGAGCAGTTCCCGGCTGACTCGGACGCCCCCTGGGACATGGTTTCGTAGACACTGGGAGTCACATCTGCAAGCCCGAGAGAGGAGGGAGCGACGGGGGGCTATCTAGGTGAGGCTAAATTGGATAATGCCCAGACTTAATGAGAATGCGCAAGGTCAGGTTGGAGGCCACACAAGGTCACAGGAAGACTCACCAGCTGCCACGTAGTCAGTCACCAGTCCCTAGGCATGTCACCTGAAGCCGCAGGCAGCCACATGGAATCACAGATGCCTCCTGAGGACACAGGCAGTGATGGTTATGTGTGTGGTACATGAGAGCTCAAATTCCTTAGCTATATGATTAATGGGCTATACAGACACCAAGTTGCTGATGGCATTGGAATCCCTCTGTCTGGGAACAAAAGGAGGAAGCTTGGTTCTGCGATTTTCCAAAACAATAAAGGTAGGTGTTCTGATGGGGGTGCTCCATGGACATCTTCAGGTGGATTTCACGAAGTTCCCCCTCCAAACTCCTGCGGTTCTTCAAGCGTTCAGAACCCACTAGGCCTCCAGCACCGAGGACAGCGCTAAGGCAGTCCAGCCCTCTACACACACAGCTGGGCACTAGTTGAGACCAGGACCAGGACCAGGAGGAAGAGGATGAGAAAGCAGACAACAGAGATCAGGAAGCAAGGGGTGGGTAGGTGAGATCAGTTGCTCTCTGTGCACTTGAACTCACAGCTGAGCTGCAACTCTGTGTGTGTGTCTGTGTGTGTGTATGTGTGTGTGTGTGTGTGTGTGTGTGTGCGCGTGTGCGTGTGCGTGTGCGTGTGTGTGTGTGTGTGTGTGTGTGTGTGTGTGTGTGTGTTGGGGGAGGGGGTCATACGGCATCTTTAGTTTTGGCTTGTGTGTCCAGGACTATCTGTGTGAGCCTTAGAGTTGTACAGTCTACAGACATATATCTGCAGTAAGTCTCTACAATAGACCATTCTATCCCATTACAGGAACCGGGTCCCGGGAGGGCTGCTCTTGCCTGACGTCAGACTCTTCCTGGCAAGGGTTTTGCTGAAATCCAAAACTTGGCATGCACCTCCATGAGAGGATCGCAGAGGCGATGTGGCAGGGTTTTTCCCAGTAGGTGACACAGCAGTCAGAAATCCCCCCCGTGTTCCCACCAGCAACAAACTATTGGAAAGCCCGCTCAGGGGGAGACCCAGGCAGGGGAACTTTTAGGTTGGGCAGAAGGAATGGATCTTTTCAAGTCATACTGGCCTAAGGGAGTTGACCAGAAAATGTCCCCATAGGCTAAGGGAATAAATGATTAGGTCTGAACAGAGCAGGGGTCCTAGGAGCCAAGCCACAGGCTCCGGGACCCAGTCTCCTGCAGCATCAAGATGCAAGAGCATTTAGGCCCTTGGGTGGCTTCTGGCAACCTCTTCTCCAGAGTGATGTCATGGGACACATTTAGCCTGGCCTCCTGCAGAATGTCGCATTCAGTTTCTCTTCCTACAGATGCCTCTGCTTCTTGTGAGTATTACAGTTCAAAAGCCTATGCTGGAGCTGAGCTGATTACAGCTTAACTGAGTGGGACTCTGTTTTCCCTCAAGCAATTGGCTCCTCCTGAGGGATATAGATGGGAAGGCTCTGAGCTGTCTGTGGGATCATGGCCAGGTCTCTCTTCATGCTAGGCCTGTCCCCTCTACTGAGCACGACTTGTTCCCTTCCGTGCTGCGTTACCAAGGACCCCCTGCTCCTTGTAGATCTCCATCATGAACCAGGCGGCTGTGACTCTGAGACCTCTTGACTTCATGGGTCCAGCAACCACAGAACACGGCAAGAGAAAAGCCGGTACAGGGGGCTTTTGCATCAAGTCATACGGTAGCTGTAGCTTTCCATTCATTCATTTATTCATTCACTCTTTAAGCTACTGTGTGTTCTGTGCTATCTCCTGGTAGGAGTTAGGGTGTAGGCAGGCGAGTCAGGAGTGGCAGGAACAGCAGTGTAGCATGGTAAGCCTGGAAACAGAAGGATGGCCCTAACCTAACCCTGGGGAGGTCCAGAGGGAGGAGCATTCGTACTGGACCTCCAACCTTAGTGTAAATGCTTAGATAGGAGGTGTCCCCTGAAAAGGCTCAGATGCTGAAGGCTTGATTCCTAGGTGGTGCTGCTACTCAGAGATAGTAAGTGTGCTAACTCCATCAGTGGAATAATCTCTTAATAGTTGAGTGGCCTATGGGGAAGTGAGACCTGGATGAAGGAAGTAGGCGCTGAAGGCATGGCTTTGAAGGGTGTGTCTTATCCCTCATTCCTTCCTCTCCTTCCTCTCTTTCTAGCTGCCACAGAAGAGCAGCTCTGCTTCCTCTCCACCACAAAGCTCTTCCTCTCTGCAGGCCCAGAAGCAGCCAAGCGACAGTGGACTGAGATCTGTGAGACCATGATTTAAGATAAAACTTCAAGTTGATATTTCTCAGGCCTTTTGTCAGAGTGGCAGAACCTTGACTAACACACCAACCATTGAAGTTGAGCAAAGGATACTAGTTGCAGCAATGGCTCTGATTCTGTCATGGTGTTGATACCTGGGGGGGGCGACCTCTGCCCCTTTCTGTCTCCATTGATGCAAGTAGACACTGACCTAGAGGCTTCTGGTACCAAGTAACAACTTGTTGCCCTTCCATCAACACAGACTCTCTGTTTACACCAGCCTCTGCCTACTTCTTGTCTGGTCTGCTAACGGCCATGAGGAACAGCCTAAGATGGATGGCTTCAGATGATCCTGCGTGTAGAATATCTGAACCATAGCCCTTTGGTATTTGTAAATCTGAACCACGTTTTTGGCTCCACAGATGGAACCCAGAGATTCACATGTGCTAGGCCAAATGTTCTATTACTAAGAAACACCCATAGTCGTTCCTATCCGTTTTGAGTATACTTTGATAATTGCCTACATGGTAAGTACCTCTTTCTGGTGGTACCCAGAAAACTCACTTTCCAAGCCTTCCTTGAATCTAGGAATGGGTAAGTGAAATAGGCTGTGCCAATGAGCTATGTCTTCATGAGCCTCTGATCCAAACGTCAGGAATGAGTGGGAGAAATCCTGCCCATGCCATCCATCTTGCTGGCATCAGAAAAGTGGCAGAAGCAATGGATGGTGGGTGATTGTGGGAGCTGTTCTTGGAAATTTAAGACTTTTTTGAACCTCCCATAAATTCTATGAGTTATGTAACAATTTTTAGGATGCTCTTTTTATGCTAAAAAGAGTCTATATGGATTCGGTGTTGTTGTATATAGCCAAGAACTCAGATTGTCTCCCTTGCGGACCCATTGCTCAAGGTCTTTTCAGCCCTTGAAAGCCTGTGGCTATGGAGCTAAGCATACAGCATGACACATACCTTGTCCCTCATGGCTGCCTATACTGTGGAAGTGGAGGCTCTGACTGGTGAGGCTTGATGAAACAGGGTCTCACTATGTAGCCTTGACTGGCTTGAAACTCACTACGCAGAACAGGCCACTCTCAAACTCACAGAGTTCCACCTGCCTCTGCCTCCCCAGTGCTGACAGTGCAAGTGTATGCACTACCATGCTTGGCTCTGGGCTAAACCCTTGAAACTCAGCAAAGAATGCATTCAGAAGAAATAATCCACTCAGAAGAGCCACCCCATCTACCGCAAAGATGTTGCAGACAAAAAGCAACAGCTAGGAAAATGTAGTGTCCAGCTCCTAACCTCCAGTGAATAGTGGTGGGTTTCCTCTCAATTAATGAAGTTGCTCATGGAAGGCTGGAGAGATGAGTCAGTGATTAGGAGCACATACTGCTCTTGTAGGAGACCTGAGCTCAGTTCCCAGCATCCATGTCAAACAGCTCACAACTGCCTACAACTCGTGCTTCAGGGACCCTGGCACTCTCTTCTGGCTTCTACAGGCATCGTATTCACACATATAATCTTCTACCACCCCACCCCACCCCAAAAATCTAAAGTAAAAGTAAATAAAAAAATTTAGAACTTGTCTAATGTAGAAAATTTTGGAAATGCGGAGAAGTATACATTAGGGTTACCTGTGGGCTGGTGAGATGGATCAGCAGTTAAAAATGCTTGCTGCCAAACCTGATGACTTTAGTTTAAGGCCCTGGACTCACATGGGTGGATAGACTCCCACAAGTTGCCCTCCGACCTCCATATGTGCACCATGGCACAAGACACCCCCTCCCCCATACACACATAAATAAGTAAACGTAATTTTTTTAAATTAAAAAAAAACATTTTCCTTGGGGGAAAAAAGGAGTCATAGTAGAATCAGCTTGAGAAGCTCTTTGCTTTAGGGGAACTGCCATTGCTAGCATCACACGAGAATTAGCCCATTTACTTGGAAAGGGTTCTTTTAGTTGGAAACTCTTGGGTGAGCTTACCAGACAAACACAGCTGAAGAGACTGTTTGTCTTTAAAAAGCCAATTAAATGACTGAGGAGTTCGTGAGGATTTTTTCAGAGTCACAGGAAGACAAATCGAAGCCTGGGTAGGCCTCAAACTTGTGTCTAGTACCCCAGGGATGAGAGGTGGTCAAAACGCTGGCTCCCATAGGATCCCAAGAAGGCTTCTCTGCACGTGTCTCTGGCTGTGCGATGTTGGAGTCTGTTGCAAGACCAACTCCAGTGTAAAGACATGGAAAAGGAAGTAACAGAAAATACAGACCAATGTCGTATTGGCTAGGGATGGGGAAGGTCTTTCTATGAAGAAACCACAAAGGAAAAGGTTGGTAGATTTGAAGTTCTGACACATGCAAATCTCAAAGGTCTGTATGCTAAAACCACCATTAAAAGGTCTAAAAGATGAATAGACTTTAAAAAATCTTTATGCCACTTGGCAATAAAGGATTCGATATGTCACCCAAAGTAATAAGAAAGAGATAGAAACAGAGAGACACACAGAGACAGAGAGAGATGGAGACAGAGACAGACACACACAGAGGTAGAGAGACAGAGACAGACAGACACACACACACACACATGCTGGGGGCAGGGGAGCTGCAGATTTAGATGGACACTTCAAGGAAGAAGAAATGGTGCTCTCTTTTGCCGTGTTTAGGTCTTCCTGACTGCCCATGGAGGGGAGACAGGAAGCAGCTGTCAGGGTAGCCTTGTCTCCTCCCTCCAGGAAATACAGCATAAAACTCTCTTCCCTCTAACCCTCATGGCCATATCACTGGTCCCAAAGCTCCCCTGAAGGAGGGTACTTGTCACTAACTTAACTCACTCTATTTCGTCCTTTTATGGTTCAATTTCTGCCTCCTTAACCTCTCCCTCCCGAGTCCCTCTTTCCTTTATCTGCCTGGGATTCCAGGGATGACAAGGCTGGTTGGTGGACATGTCTGTGACAAGGGACGGAAGCCATCCTCCAACAACAGCAAGGCTAGGACAGAGGACCCAGCCAATGGCAGCAGTTATCTTTGATGGCTAGGCCCTGCCCTGGAGCGGGAGCAGACATCTTCAGTGATGACAGTGACACCAACTTCAGACCGTCTCAAAGAACCAGAACTGAGATAATGGCCTTTCTGGGATTGCATAATTATGCACACAACTTGACCTTAACCCAGCTCATCCTCTATTTAAACTTAGGCTCACATGAGTCCCCGGGAGACAAACTTTGGGTCACTGAATTCCTTTATCTGTCATTCTTCCCAACACAGCCACTTGGATTAGACTTCCTTTCTCTATCCTTCACCGTTACTCCTCTCTCTCTCTCTCTCTCTCTCTCTCTCTCTCTCTCTCTCTCTCTCTCTCTCTCAAACTATTTTGTGTGTGTGTGTGCACAAAATGTTCTAGGTTGGCCTCAAACTTGGTACGTAGCTGAGGATGACCTTGAATTTTGGATCCTCCTGTCTCTACTTTCCAGTGCTGGGATGACAGTCATCCACCACCACACCCAGTCTGCAGCTCTGGGAGGAGACCCAGGGCTTCCTGTTTGATGGATGAGCACTCTGCCATTTGAACTATATACCCTGGGTCGTAGCCATCTCTTTAATTGCCGTGTTGGGATGGGGAGCTGAGCTTAGTCCGTTGGGATTCCCAGAACTGAAACTTTTTGTGTAAAATTCCAGCCACACTATCACTTTTTCCATCTGCTCAAGACGCAGGTTATTTTCCTCAGTAGCCAGTGAGGCATCAACCTCACCCCAAGTCAGGCCGGATGATTTCCAGCAATAAATCAGAGATGGTAAGATAACGTGGGTGTCTGAGGATTTGACATCCTAAAGATCTTTTGGCAGACTGTGCCACAGAGTTCTTACCTAGTGATGACTATCAATGGTTTTACTTAGGAGTTAACACAAAGCAAGACAAATCAAGATTCTATGTGCGAAACATATCATTGCCACCACCACCTCTTACCCTGTGGTCTCTGGGAATTTGCCCAAGACCCCCTGTTTTGGTGTGTGGTTAAAGGACTACAGTGAACTTTGGTTGGAGATAGGGCTGAAGATGGCCATAAGGACCTTAAGAGGTGGTGCATCTCCTGGAACCAGAAGGATGCACCCCATTCTCAGAGCTCTTGAGGAACTGAGAGAGAACAGGTGCACTTGGTTTCCTGGCTGCTGACTGGGGAGGAAGAGGAAGGAGCCCAGAACAGTCTGTCCAAGAGGGAGGAAAAATATCAGAATGCTTGGGCTGAAAAGCTGCTCAGGGGTTAAACATCCTCTCTCTCCTCCCAAAGTGAGGAATAGAGAAATTGTTATGGGGAAAAGGAGAAAGCAAGAGCTAATTCTTTGGGGCTGGAGAGATGGTTCAGAGGTTAAGAGCACCGACTGTTCTTTCAGAGGTCCTGAGTTCAATTCCCAGCACCCACATGGTGGCTCACAACCATCTGTAATGACATCTGGTGCCCTCTTCTGTGTACATAATAAATAAAAAAATCTTTTAAAAAAAAGCGCTAATTCTTTGCAAAAAGGCACGTGGACTTCAAGAGCCACTCTGTGTTTTAGTAGCAAGCATAAACAGAACCTCAGCCAGCTCATCTCTGAAGCTATTTTAGTGTCTCTGTGGTTTGGGGAGGGGGCAAACCCCAGAAAAGATGAAAGAGAAGGTTCCCCGTATCTGTAGAAACACCAGGACCAACCACAAGTGCTCAGCTCTGATACAACGGGAGGGAATCCATCCAAAATACTAGCGCATTCTACATGTCAGCCCCACACAAAATAATTTCCAAAAAAGGCAACAAAAATCACAATCTACATTGTGAAACCTCCCAAACAGGAAAGTGGGGATGGAACACTAACCAGTTGGGGTAAACCTCCAGTAGAGGTGTGTGGTTAGAGGCGGTGACTTTGCAAGGTGAATTCCCAGCGGCAACAGGGTGTGGAGTGTAAGACATGACTAGGTCACCAACACCTGTGGAGAGTCAAACTGAAAGCCACAGGGCCACCCTCCCCTGACACTGGATCACCCCTGTCACTGTGCAGGTCTGCATGTCTTTCTGTCAATCACCTCTGTCACTCACTGTGCAGGCCCGCACGTAAATCTGTCATCACCTCTGTCACTGGTCACTGACTGTGCGGGCCCGCACGTAACTCAGCCATCAGGAATTGGTAAAGCAGAAGTTGGTGCTCTAGAACTGCTCAAGGAAGGAGAAATCACAAGGCAGATGTGAACCTCTGGAGGCCCTGGGAACGATTCCCTGGAGATAGTCTTCCTATGTCAGAATCAACAGAGGCTAAGCATCGA